AATGCGGCACTTAAAAAAATACAGTCGTTTATGGGAAGTGAGGCACTTACAAAAAACGGAGGGAGTATCAAATCAAATTGGGTCTCACAAAGTGGGGTTGTGGATATATGATTAAAAAAATGAATAAAAAGTTCTTATAAAAGGAATAAAGTAAAAGTAAGTAGAATTTAGGGAAAATACGGATAAAAACAGAAAGTGGGTAGAATTTAGGAAAACAAAGTGTGTAATTCATTCATTCTTCACTTTCTAGGGTCGGATAACTTAGATTTGATTTGATTACTTACTTCTTATTAGATTAGAATACATTAGATTAGATGTGATTTCTAGGGTTACATCCCTATCCCTACCTTATGAGCAAGACCCAGTTTATCACCTTGATAAACAAAATTTGTTTATCAAATGTAAATAAGTTGCATTGAATTTTGTGTTTTTTGATTAAAAAAAAAATATATTTACTGTTTGTGGGGCATGGTAATAATGTTAACAGAATTTTTGTAGTTAATGGTGTTATCTCACCGTTAACTACTGTTCATCACCTTTTTCCTCTCCACCTTCCATTCATCTTTTTCCCACCTTCTTCTTCCTCTTGTTCTTTTTCCTTGCTCCCATCATCTTCTATCTTCGATCTTCCTCCAATCCACACCCACTTTCATCTTCTTTTCAAGCCGTTTGACTCCGCGACCACCACCATTTTCGGCGGCTTTGTTGCCGAAATTCAACGAAAACCCAAATAACAAAGAGAGAAATAAAGGGTATGCTTAACCCTAAAGGATAGGTGAGTTAATCCTCCATTTATTTCGGCTTTGTACTACCATTATATCAAAGGGAGAAATAAAGGGTATGGTTAATCCTAAAGGGTAGTAAGCTTTCGTCCCTCCATTGATTCGTCTAGCTCGATGTTGTATTAAAATGCACATTTTTTGCCATTGAAATTGAAGGTTGAAGGAGGAGAGAGCAAATCAAGGGATAGGGGAAAAGCAACTAATAGTAATTAACACTAGTTAGTTGTCAATTACATAAATACCCCTTGATAAACATGAATTGTTTATCAAGGTTATAAACTTGTATTTTCTCCTACCTTATCCTCCCTACCTTATAAAAAGTTTAACAAAACTCTTATAAATAGTGAATGTACATTTATATCCTAAGAATGTTCTTTTACATATTTGGCCCCATTTGATTTCAAAAGCCTTAAAATCTATCTTGTATTCCCTCTTTTCTTTTTGTTTTCCTATTTGAAATTTGATCATTATTTAATACAAAGTATAACAGAGACTCAAAATTGATTTTAATATATATTGAGTACAAGAATTATATATTAGACATTTATATTTTAAAACTACCATTCCCTTGCTTAATCAAAGTAGCTCTACTAAAGTTTCGGACATCGAACACCTACACAACATCCAACACATTTATCGCATATATGCAAATAGATATTATAAAATATCATACAAGCCGCAGGCATTGAGCATAAAGGCCACCGATAATAAGTCTTCTCAAAGGGCTAGTAATACCACGTGCGATTAGAGTCCCTGGTAACTTAAAAATAGGGGCGTCGCATAAGCAGCTACAAAAGAAAAAAATAAATAAATAAACAAAATAAAAATAGCAAATGAGATAAGAGATTTAAAGTTAATTCAATATATATATATATATATATATATATATAGGGGAGGGATCCGGTAAGAACCCCTCCTTATATAAGAACCTTAGTTATATAAGAACCAATCTCATTCGTAGGATTATATTAGAATGAGCGGTCAGGATTAAAACCAAAAACCCTCCCCCAACCGTCCAAAATCTTCTCTCTCCTCAAATTTTCAATCCTCTTTACTTTCTCTCTCCTCAAATCCTGTAAATTGAACTTATTGAAGTATTTTCTTCAAATTTCGCATGAATTTCGCATAACCAACCTAAATTGTTCAAATCAAGTACGTTTTTTTTTAGATTTTATTCAAATTTCGCATGATGTTCAATTTTTTCTTAATTTCGACTTCAATTTTTAGATTTCTGTGTGATTTTTGTTCCATTTTTTTTAATTGTTTTGTTGCTTTCGATTTTTTGATTTCATCTTGCGATTTCTATTCGATTTTTTTGGGTACGATTATTAAGTCCTATTATTCACTTCGAATTCTATTCTGATTTGATTTTCGTTAATTTTTGGCGATTATAGGGTTCAAACTCAGTGATTTTAGGGCTGGAATTTCAGCGATTTTAATGTTCGAATTTTAGCGATTTTAGTTTCGAATTTCAGCAATATGGGGTAATTTCACCGCTGCTCTTGATTATTAGATTTTTCAGCCCATTTTTTCGATTTTTTTTCTTTTTGGCGTCATTTTTAGTGAGTGAAGGTGGAGATCGAGGGTGAGTAACGGTGGTGCGGTGGTTAGGAGCAGCGTGGGGTGCTACTGAATGGTGATTTGGTGGTCCGCGACTGCTTGTGGTGTTGGGGTGGCTGTGAGTTGTGGCATAGAATAGTCGTCTCTTGTTTATACTCGTACTCATATCTGCTCATATTGTTTGCGTTTTCTAAAGAGAATGCTAGTATTTGTATTAGCTTGGTAATTTGGCTTACTAATTTTTTGAGATTATATGAATTTGATTGTTGGGTATATATATATGTGGAGCCATGATGAGTTGATGACCGACTAATTGGATGCTGTTATTTATATATGTAGTTGGGTATCTTTATTCTTGATTCCATGTCATTTTAACTAATTATCATATCTTGGAATTAAACTAGATAGCTTGGTTGATTAAGCCACAAATTTTGCTTAGTTATTGCTAGAGTAGTAGTGCACGAAAAGTGAAGAAAACTAATCTTATTATAAATTTAGAATAATATAGATTTAGAACAAAAAAAGATTAGAACATAAGTAAAAAATTTAGAACATATGAAAAATTTAGAACATAGAAAAAAATGTTTAGAACATAGGCAGAAAAATTTAGAACATAGGGGAAAAAATTTAGAACATAGTCAAAATTTTAGAACATATATTTTGATTATTAGAGAAAAATTTAGAACATAGGTATACAAGTTTTCAATATGGGTATAAGATCGAGTTTAGTACATAGGATAAAAGTTTAGAACATAGAAAAAAAAAAGTTTAGAACACAACAAAAAAATTTAGAACATAAGAATTTTAGAACATAGGGAAAAAAGATTAGAACATAAGTGAAAAAATTTTAAAAAAATTTATAATATAGGGAAAAAAAAATTAGAACTTAAGAAAAGGTGTAGAAAATAGGAAAAATAATTTAGAACATAAAAGAAAATTTAGAACATAAGTTTAGAACATATGGTGAAAAAATTTAGAACATATGAAAACTTAGAACATAGATGAAAACTTTTAGAACATAGGTAAAAATATAGAACATAGATAAAAAATGTCGAATATGAAAAAAAAATTTAGAACATAGTCAAAAAGTTTAGAACATAGGGTGAAAATATTTAGAACATAGGGTGAAAAAAATTTAGAACATAGGAAAAAAAGTTTAGAGCATAGGGCGAAAAAATTTAGTACATCAGAAAAAGTTTAGAATAGGAAAAAGTTTTGAACATAGGGTGAAAAAATTTAGTATATAGGATAAAAGTTTAGAAAATAGGGTGAGAAGTTCTAAGATTATAGATAGAAAAAGTTTAGAACATATGGTGAAAATTTTCAGAAATATATGGAAAATTCAAAGCATAGACAGAAAAATTTTAAGTAATGGATAAAAAAAGTTTAGATGATAGGAAAATAATTTAGAACATATAAAAAGGCATTGGCAGAAAAAAAAAATTAAAGTATTAGCAAAAATACTTTTGAAAAACTAAAGTATTAGCAAAAAACTTATGAACATTTACGGTAAATGAAAAAAAGAAGAACATATGCTAAAAGGCCTAAAACCTATTAGCTCAATTGGTAGAGCACTATGCAAATGCATAGAGAATGTAGGTTCGATTCCTACATAGGTTATCTCTATAAAAAAAAAAAAAAAAAAAAAAAAATCGAAAGTAAACAATAATAACTTAATAGTAAAACATGAAAATAAATCAAATTATTTTTTCAACTTATGTTCTAAATTATTTTTTTTTTATGTTCTAAATTTTTTTTGCTTATGTTCTAAATTTTTTTTGTATGTTCTAAATTTTTTCTGCTTATGTTCTAAAAATTTTCCCATATTCTAAATTTTTTTCTATGTTTTAAATGTAAACTTTTCAAAATTACAGAAACGCCATTACTAAAGGATCATTTTAGGTGGTTAGATCAAAACTAATAAAGGGCTGAGATTGGTTCTTATATAAGATTGGGTTCTTATATAGAGGAGGGTTCTTACATGAGCCTTCCTCTATATATATATATATATTATTTTATTTTTTATCACCATATATAATTATCTTTTGCTCTTGGATAAATTTTTAAACACAAACATAGCTTTGGGTACACAATAATACGATAAATTATATAAATCTATAAGATTTCTCATATCATTATAAAAATAAAAATGCTACTGAGTTTTTTTTTTTTTTTTTTTAATTATACAATTATTAGACTTGTTTTTAGCTCCTATGTAGAGGTTGGTTAACATGATAACATTGATAAAAATTGACAAGATAAAAACGTATTTTAGATAAGATTAAAATTTTTTTGTACATAATTTAGTTTTAAGAAAAATAATTCAATCTAGTGTTGAGCTATATTAACGTAAAATAAACTTGATTGGGATATAAAAGTTTGGTGGAAGAAAATTTATCACATCAGAGCTATTCACTGAAAATTTTCTATATAATAAGCTCATTGTTATACATTTTATTATTTTATTTGGCTATTTATTAATCAAGGCGATTTATGAACTTAAAGATGAAGATCTTCCTGGTTTTTCTTGTGCTTTCAGCCCTCCATGTTTCCTCACTAGCAGTAAAACAGGTTATCTTAACGATATGATCTTAATAATTACTTTGTATTTGTTAGTTTACATTGCTAATTTGATATATTATAATGTCATTTATATAGTCGTACGTAGTGTATATGGGAGCACACTCCCATGGTCCAGAAGCTACTATCGAGGATTTTAATCGAGTGACGGATAATCATCATAGTTTCCTTGCAAATTTTCTAGGAAGGTATGCATATATAATCAAATTGTTTATGACTTATGTTTTCTTCCCAATACCCTATTAGGGTTTTAATTTGATTTATCGAGTTTAAACATCACTACGTACAATTCGTGGTTTTGTTGTGTATGTAGTCATGAAAAGGCAAGGGGTGCAATATTTGACTCGTATACAAGGGTTATCAATGGTTTTGCTGCCAACCTTGACAAGCATCAAGCAGAGGAAATAGCAAGTTAGTCCACAATTTATTTATTAAGCGTGAATTTTTGTGTTTATAGTAGATTACTTGAAGTTATAAGTATTTACTAAAATGTACAAGGAAGTGATTTTCATTACTACAGCTATATCAAGTTTATTGATCGCGTTAAATTATTGCAGCCCATATAATTAGTTTGTATCTTGTGATGTAGAACATCCGGACGTGGTATCTGTGTTTCTAAACAAAGGGAAGAAAAAACACACTACACACTCTTGGGATTTCTTGTTGCTCGAAAACAATGGCATTCGAAGTGAAGAATGGGCCGCAGCTAGATTTGGAGAAGATACCATCATCGGCAACCTTGACACTGGTATTCTCTTTGAGCTATTGCCTATTATAATTAATAATGTTATAAAATTTTGATATTTTTCTATAATATCTAACACGATCTTATATGACTACATAATTTTTAATAAAAGTTTATAATATTTTATCTTAGAAAATATAATTGTGGGACAGTTTTCAGAAGCCATTATGGAGAGATTAATTTGCTGGCTGCATTAGAAATAATTCTTATGTGAAACAAAAGTTACTTTTCTGTGATGACGTAGATAACATTCGTTTAGTCACCTCGAAGACTTTAATTAACTAGTCTACAATAATTAACAAGCATATTATTGAGGGGGTGGATGGATTTGTTGAGAAACTAAGTGACATTATTACATGATTCGTCTTATAAAATGATATTCTTACTTATGCGTGATATATAAACTGTGATTAGGTGTATGGCCTGAATCCGAGAGCTTTAACGACATAGGGTATGGACCTGTTCCATCGCGATGGAAAGGTTCTTGCGAGCAATACTCCAACAAAACTAATGGAGTTCATTGCAACAGGTTTAATCATCACTTTCTAAACAAAAAATCATGAAATTTGACTTAGAACTTTTATACTACGCATATTTATTTACACAATAAAAAAAAAAATCTTGTAGGAAGTTGATTGGAGCAAGGCACTTCAACAAAGGATACAAATCCTATGGTGGAAATGTGTCAATAGCTATAGAATCTGCACGAGACTTCGATGGCCATGGATCGCATACCCTCTCAACAGCTGGAGGAAACTTCGTACCGGCAAGCATAAATGGCAATTTTCTAGGGACTGCAAAAGGCGGTTCACCAAGAGCACGAGTTGCTTCATACAAGGTTTGTTGGGAGCCTATTGACGGAAATGAATGCTTTGATTCTGATATCATAGCAGCTTTCGATAGGGCCATTCATGACGGGGTTGATGTGCTATCTTTATCTCTTGGAGGTGATCCTGTTGACTACTTCGCGGATGGAAATGCCATTGGAGCCTTTCATGCGATTCAAAATGGTATTGTTGTGGTGTGTTCTGCTGGAAATTCTGGGAATACTCCTGGTACTGTCACCAATGTTGCTCCTTGGATTTTTACTGTTGCTGCGAGTACTATGGATCGTGAGTTTGACTCCTTTGTTAAACTTGGCAATGGACATCATTTTAAGGTATGAAACTATCAACCATATTGTTAAAGGACCAAATCAACCAAAAGCTTAAATGTTATTATTATGTGATTACTTTATTTCCAATTTTATTATTGATATCGGCCTCATCAATAATTTTTCATTCGGCCATTGGTAGGGTGCAAGCCTATCACAGGCATTGCCGAAAGTTGGACCATATCCACTCATCTCTGCTGCTGATGCAAGAGCTGCTAATGCATCTGTTCATGATGCGTAAGGACAACTCCCTTTTTATTCCAATTTGAACAATACTGTTTGCTAATTGTAAGTAACTGATATGTATGTTGCACCTGTAGTCTCCTTTGCAAGCCAGGCACATTAGATGTTAAAAAGGTGAAAGGAAAGATTGTGGCTTGCCTTAGGGGAGTCACCGCTAGATTGGACAAGGGCAATGTAGCAAAACTTGCTGGAGCTGCTGGCATGATTCTTTGCAATGACAAAGAAGATGGAAATGAAACCATTGCAGATCTTCACGTACTTCCTGCAGTACATGTAAACTACAAAGATGGATCAGCTATATTCAACTATATTAATTCCACAAAGTAAGTATTTACATCTTTTCTACACCTATTGTACAAAATTTCTCTGTTTCTTATTTTTTTGGGTGTTGAATTTAGACTTGATCAAAATCTTTTTTTTCAGTAATCCCGTGGGTTATTTTACTGCCTTTAAAGCAAGTTTCGATGTCAAACCTGCTCCCTACATGGCTCCCTTCTCCTCCGTCGGTCCAAATACAGTTACACCAGAGATTTTGAAGGTTTGTACTAAGAATTTTTAGTGTGCTTTAGTTACATTTTTCTTAATCATTTTCTTTATTGGGCTAATTCGAAAAATATGTGGTATTTTGTAACATTGAGACCTATACTGTTTTTTGTTAGATTTACTAAATCTTTTTTATATTTGTGCTCTAAACAGCCTGATATCACAGCACCAGGTGTGAGTGTTGTAGCTGCATACAGTCAAGGGGTGAGTCCAACAGCAGAGCCTTATGATCACCGCAAACTATCTTTCGCAGTCGAATCTGGTACATCTATGTCTTGTCCCCATATATCTGGTATCGCCGGCCTTCTGAAAACACTTAACCCTTCATGGAGTCCTGCTGCTATCAGATCTGCTATAATGACTACAGGTAATAATCCTATTTATCTTTGTGAACAGTTTTCTTAATAGTACATATATATTCCGTTTTTAGTGTGTAATGATCTGTCATTGATTTACAGCTAAAACTCGAGATAACACAATCAAACCAATGGAAGATGGGGACTTTGTTAAGGCCACTCCATTTGGTTACGGAGCAGGACATGTCAGACCAAACCGCGCCATGGATCCTGGGTTGGTCTATGACTTAACCACAACTGATTACGTGCACTTCTTATGTGCCATTGGCTACAACAACACTATAATCAAAACCTTATACAATGGTTCCGTCGAATGTTCAAAATCAAGTTCTAACAAAGCCACCCTTTTGAACTTTAACTACCCTTCCATTACAGTCCCTGAACTTTCTGGCTCCGTCACTGTTACTAGGACTTTAAAGAACGTGGGATCTCCAGGTGAATATGTAGCCCGTGTTCGCCACCCATCGGGAGTAGCTGTTACTGTGAATCCAAGGCTATTGAAGTTTGACAAAGTTGGAGAAGAGAAGAAGTTTACAGTGACTTTAACTTCTGAAATTAATAAAAGTGGAGATTACAAGTTTGGAGAGTTATTATGGTCAGATGGCATGCACAATGTTAGAAGTCCTATAGTAGTTGCTTCTTCTCACTGATTAGCGAATAGATTAGATTTTCGTTACGATGTTTTTTCTTAATTAGATTATGATTAGGAAACACTAGCATAAACATCATTAGTTATTACTTATACAGATTTGGAATAGTTATTTAAGACAGTTGATGACTTATAAGTCAGCTAGACAGCTACTATTTGTTGATTTTTTTGTAATGAGATTAAAATATTTATAGATTATATTGCCATTTTGTTTAATTTTAGGAGAATTTTGAAGCACAGTTTACCAATTTCCAGTTGAAATTTAGAATTGGTGATGATCACGGGCAAGAAAATATGAAAAAAAGTTGACAGCTGTGGGATTTGAACCCACGCCCTTTCGGACCAGAGCCTAAATCTGGCGCCTTAGACCACTCGGCCAAACTGTCGGATGTGTAATATAATTAATATCATAAGAGAGATCTTATGCAAATCTTTCATTTAACGTTTTTTCACCATATACATACCCTTGAGTTTTTTGTTTATTCACCATATATTTATGTCATACGATTCGATTTACGATCCTACCCAATTTTTACAAGTTTTAAAACATGCCTATAGTGTTATTTATAAATATATATTGTCAATTATTGGTTGCTTAATGGGTAAACAACTATTTTCTATCAATAATTAGGTTTTAAACTCATATTTTAAATATATTTATTTAAATTTGGATTTGACGTTTTGATTATAGATGCCGATAGAATCTTACATTTCTATAATTCAATTTTACGTTTCGATTCTGAAAGTCCCTTCCGATTCAAATTGCAATCCCAATTTTAATAACTTTGCCTGAGTTGTTACAAAAATTCACCATATACCCCTAATAATAACAAGATGAGTGAAATTTGGTTAATTATGCATCGAAACTACCTTAGATCTATCCCCCCATCCTCGAAACCACTCTCCTCTTTTCTTTAACCCCCGAAACCACTCCAAATTTCTATAACCATATCCGTATGATTGATTTGGAGGATGAGAAAATAATGGAAATTTGGGGTGGTTTTGTGGGTGGGAAAAAAGAATGTGGGTTGGTTTCACGGGTAGGAGAATGTATTTAGGGTGGTTTCGGGTTATAATTAACCTAATGACTGAAAAAATTAACAATCATTAGTCATCAAAAGATATATGATGTATATGATGAATTTAAAAAAACTCAGGGTATATGATAAATTTTAAAAAGTTTAAGTGTATATGATGAATAAACAAAAAACTCAGGGGTATATGGAGAAAAAACCGTTCATTTAATTATTTGAGCCATATCAAAGAGCCATAAGGCTTTGACTAGGGATGTTAACAGCTTGAACGATTTCATAGAATTTTACGGAATGGATTCACTATAGTTAAAATAATTAAAATATTAATTCTTACTCAGCATTTGTTGCAGGTAACAAATGAACTGTTTCGAAGAAGAAGAAGGAGGAAAAAAAAAAAAAAAAAAAAAACCAAAGAGACAACAAATGAACTGGCATTAGCAAAACTGTTCCTCGTTACTTATTACCAAAAGCCACTTGATTGATAAACTTGGGATCAACCACGGCTCCCTCACATCAATTGATGCTAGCTCAAAACCTAGTAAAAATTAATTCCAGAACAACAACCAAACACAAAGTATCAATAACATAATATTAAAACAAACACTAAGAATGATACGTGTCACTTTTTGGTGCTGTTTTTTTCTCTAAAACATTTTTTTTTATTCACTTCCTAAAAAAAATTCATTTCTTTATATAATTGTGATTCACTTCCTTAAAAAAAGAATATTCACCAAATCATATAATTGTGGTTCACTTCCTAAAAAAATATTCACATATTTTCCATATTTTTATTGTATAAATATTTTTCTACAATTTTTTTCGGTGTTCTATATGTTTCACCCATTGGTCTAATCCAGATTTGGGGCTCAATTCTGGGTATAAATTATAATTCAAACTTTTTCAATTTCATTTAAAAATATGATGATTATTTTTTGGTAGATTTATAAAATTTTGTAACAACCGTGCGTGACACGGGACTTAATCTAGTTCATAATTAAATTTCAACCCCATACCACCCTAAGCTCACTCATAATTCCAAATACATACCACTTTGTGAACTAAATGCCCCCTTAGTATAAATTAAACTTATAAACGAAGTATGATCCATTAAGGGGGTGTTTGGTTCATCAAGTTGGAATAAATTGGTATAGAATCTCATACTTGAGAGGTATAGATTCTAAAACCTATACTAGTCCAAAGTTGTTTGGTTTTGATAGTTGGAATGAATTCTATCCTTCATTAATAGAGTGGATTGTGAGTCTTAGGGGGGAGGGGTGGGTATGGGATTCCATGGGTATGAAGGGGAATTAGAACTCCTTGGGTATGAAATTTCATTACTAAAAATCTCAACCAAACAAAAAAGTAGATGGAATGGATTCTAACTCCATTCCAAATGATTTAACCAAATGACCCCTAAGCTCCATTTCTGTACCTTTTAAAAAGTAGAAAAAACACTTATGAATAGTGTGAAGACTATTATATTCTTATAATGTTAGTTTACCTATATGCCCCTATTAATATGATGTTAATTGTTTCTAAACTTTTTCTTGTGTGATTTATTAATGATCGATTTGACTCTTATAAATAGTATTTGGACAATTATACTCTCTAAAATATTTATTTGCTTACTATTATATTCTTAAAATGTTTGTTTACCTATATGCCCCTATTAATATGATGTTAATTGCTTCTAAACTTTTCCTTGTGTGATTTATTAATGATCGATTTGACTCTTATAAATAGTATTTGGACAATTATACCCTCTAAAATGTTTATTTCCTTATTTGCCCTTATTAATGTTAATATTTTTTATTTTTATTTTTATTTATTTATTTTTTTAACTCTTAATAATAGTTTATAGACATTTATGCCCTAAAAAATATTTGTTTACATATTTTCCTTCATCAAGTTGCCACTTGCCAATAACAGAAAAAGTTTTCCGAATAGATTAGATATGGCGCGCGCATTAGTCATCCTAGTATTAAAAAAATTTCAACATGGCATTTTAAGGGAGGACTTGTTAAAACCCATTGACCTAAAACTTGGGCCTAGCTACTAGGCATATGGGTCCGTTCTGATGGACTTATGTAATCTGGTGGATGTTGCAATTTTAAGAGAGGACTTGTTAGCCACATCACCACATGCACCCCGATGAACATGAGCTTTTTATGGTGCAACTTCGGAAAATGGCTACTTCTCTATGCTAGGGGCCTAACCCCCCTTTGGAATTTGTAGTGCTGTGCATATATAGGTCTCTAACAATGTCACGATTTCAAAGAAGAAAGAAGTGTGAAGTTATGAGTCTTTATGACTAAGATCGTTCATTGGTTCAAAATCGCGACGAACTGGATTGAAGATTGAAAAATTTAAAATGAAGACCCGAAAATTGGACTACTGTTATTCGGATCAAACTGATTTTAATTTTTTCAACTTGATTTGGTTCGGGATTAGTCTAGACCAATTTTTGAATATTTCCACTTAGTTATGACATATTGAAACCATTAGGATGCCACAAGCACTTAATCTCATCAATCAAGAAATAGAAGCTTTTTGCAATGGATATGCTTCAGAATTTCTTTTCCAACGAAAAGCAATCTCTTTACAATCTCTCACACATCACGTGTGGGGCTGAGTATTAGGGCTTGGCCCAATGGATGGTGAAATGACAAGAAAAAAATCCTTTTAATGATCAAACTTAACTTAATCAAGCTCATTGCTCCTAAATCATGTCGTACTATCACTATATATTATAGATTTACTCCTAGTCAATTTAAGATATACGAAGTACAATATATCCAACACATTATTGCTATCAAACCTATAATAAAGGTGTATAATGTAACTTTATATGAATTTTTGGAACCCCCTTCTCTATTTTGAATTTTTTTTCTCTCAAACAAGGACTATTCAGACTTGTTGGTTGATTGGGCATTCTAATGATCACTCCTGGTGCAACTTGCTCTCACACCTCTTACGTAGTCTTGGACTTAATTGAAATGACAACTGTCAACAGCTTTAATTAGGCTACCTTAGCTTGCTAAGATTAACCTCCAAAATGCTCCTTAAACAACTCATGATTTTTCAATCTGAAAACAGTCTAATTTTAACACTTTCTTACGCTAGAAAGAAATTATTCTAGGTGTTTGAATTTGTTCTCTCTTCAAACACTAGGTCACTAATTACGAGCGGAAATAATAATTGAAAGTACGATATCTAATAATACATTATTATGTGTAAATAAAAGCTTTACAAATCAGCCTTGTTTTTACTTTTTTCATACCTAGTCATTTTTTATAAATATTCAAAAAGCTTTCATAAACTTACACACCTCTACTTAAGAAAGCTTAAATAAAAAATTAATAAGGTTTTAACCAATATATCTTGTGTTTAGAGAGCCACAAAGGCGGGTGATGAGAATCGATCTCAAGATCTCTTGAAATCAGGAGGAGAGTTCTAACCACTTAAAGCTATCCCTCACTCTTACCAGTATAGCAAAATTTGACTCAACCTAATATAATCCTTTACAAACATGTTTTAATTTGGTCAAGAATATCAATTCTTTTCAATAATTAAGTTGATCCAATCCTAGCCTAAAATTAAACGGGTTTGATTAAAGTTTGAAAAACGAACCCATATAAGTATATCATCGCCTAAATTGTTACCATGGTAACCGGGACCACCACATAGAAGCGTTAGCTCCAAACTTGTAAGTTGTACTCCAAGTATTAAATGTCATCTTCCAAATCTTGTACAAACATTTAAAGAAAGCGTCCCCAATGTAATGGTTGAGTCAGATTGATTTAGCTTCGTTACAAGTAAATAATTATAAATTAAATGTTGGTATCATCAATGTTAGGAACAGATTTTGGTAACCGAGTCATAAAACCAACCCTCTTCTTTGACTATTCCTAACATGAAAAGGTCAATTCCCCCAGTTTCATATTTCCACCTACTCTCCCATTCCTTCAACTATACTTTTTCAACCCTTTCATTTTATATCTATATTTTTCTTTCTCTCATATAATCATATAGTATATATACTATACATGCATGTTTATATATTATGCATGGATTAGAAGGTAATTAACCAAAGTAATTAGCATGGAAAACTCAAACAAATCCAAGAGTTTATTTCTTA